AGTTTTATTAATATTATTTGAATAAATTATTTATTGCTATTGTTTTTTTACCCCTCTATCTGCATGGTCTTATAATATCTTATAGCTTCTATTAAGGTTTTAATACGGTCTAACAACCGTTATTAGCAGAATACATTAATAAATGACAATTCACACTGAACATAAATAAATACTTACACAAGTAAAACAAAAATAGAAACAGAAAACAGTGTAATGACTGTTCCCGTCACGGGTTGCTGGGGAAAGGAGCTCGAAGGAGGCAGATAGTCAAACTAACAGAATCTTTAATAAATCCACATGGGAGAAATGGAGAAAACAACGACAGAGACAGGACAAAGAAACTGAGGAAAGGCAGGGCTATAAATACTAAACCAAACGATGGACTAATAAGATGATTAATGAACACAGGTGGAAACTAATGAACTAATCAAGGGGACTAAGGGAAACTAGGTCAAAGAAGGTAGAACAGAAATACAGGAAAAATCTAAACCATAACAGAACATAAACGCGACAGTTCCAGTAAAATACTGTGTTTTCAAAATCCTCTATGATGCCTGTAAGTCCATCATTATGTGTATTTTGATATTTTCTCTCTGCAGATGATGAGGTTGTAGGATGTGACATCATCTGAAATGCACAATTGAGTTTAGAGTTACAATGTGCCTCCTTCCATTTGTTTATGTAAAAACAATTATGTTTATGAAGGCCAAAAGCAGTATGTGAGCACTTCACAATGTTATGTTTATGCATAAACCCAAGTAATAAATAAAAAAATAAAAATAAATAAATCTAACAATATGGACCATAAATTCAATCTTTGTTACTTACTTAGTGGAGATGGGGAAAGACGTATCCTTAACTGAACAGAGCTGGTCAGCTCTTACATGTTCTCTTAAACTAAAAAGAGAAAAAGACATGATTGGTAGGAAACCAGTTACAGTTTAAAAGTAAAAAATAATAGACATTTTAAGAAAGAAATAATTTACCTGTTGAGAGTGTGTTGACAGTCTGTGTAGTTGGATGGCTGAAGTCCAAAAAATCAGTAATTCATAAATCATTTACCTGTTGAGAGTGTGTTGACAGTCTGTGTAGTTGGATGGCTGAAGTCCAAAAAATCAGTAATTCAGGGGGGAAATCAGGGGGGTGGGGGGTGGTTTACATTAAAACAACAACAACAATAACAGCAGCAACGACATATTGTGTGAATTAGGTACTTTTTTATTGGTGTGAAATTGTAGCAAAATGTCAGTGCTCTAAACAACAGTTGACATTGAACGTGAATAAATACATAAAGAAGTAAAACACAAAATAAAAACAAAAAATAGATGTGATGAAGACTAAATTCCAGTGAAATATCTTCACAGTCCTCTATGATGCCTTTAAGTCCATCGCTTTGGTGTGATTGAGTGGCAGTTTCTCTTTGCAGAGGATGAGGTTATGGGCATCTGAAATACACTCCTAGAAGCTGACGCTGGTCTCACCGCACGTGCTTTTATAGCTGCCTGGTCATTACGTCACCCGCCCGTGACGTCTCGCCCATCTATTGGTCTGATTACACACGAGGTTCAGAGCCGGTCACGCTGAAGGGTGTTCCCGAAGCGTCCTCCGACGCAGCGTCTCGTTCCCTCGAGGAACCATGGTTACATACGTAACCTGAGACGTTTTTACCCCTCTATCTGCTTGGTATTACAATATCTTGTAGCGTCTATTAGGATTTTACATAAAAACAACAACAACGTGTCAATTTGGTACTTTTAGATTTTTAATGACGTAATGAAATTGTAGCAAAAATTACAGTGCTCTAACAACAGTTATTAGCAGAATACATCAATAAATGACATTTTACATTGAACATAAATAAATACTTATGAGAAAAGACATGACTGGTCTGAGTTGGAACCAGTTACAATTTGAAAGTTATAATTTATAGACAATTTAAGAAAGAAATAATTTACCTGTTGAGAGTGTGTTGACAGTCTGGTTGAGCTCCAGAAAATCAGTAATGAGCCATCTTTTTTTATAGTGTAGCCTCTATTAGGGTTTTACATTAAAACAACAGCTGCAGCATGTTGTGTGAATTAGGTACTTTTTTTATTGACGTGAAATTGTAGCAAAAATGTCACTTTTTGTTTTGTTGTGTATTGTTGTGACAAGTCCCGGTAAGTCTAACGCAGTACACATAGCAAGGTTTTTTTTCATTTTATTTTTTTTTAATAATAAATAAACAGAATAAAAAGTAGATAGAAAAGAAATAGAATAGACAGAGCTAGTTTTAGAGGGTCAATTATTATTATTTATAATAATTAAAAAGAAAACAAGTAGATAGAATAGAAATAGAATAGAGAGTTCTAGTGTTAAATTAAATAAAACAATTCTAAAAATATGTATTATAAATTCAATGTCTCTGTTACTTAGTGGAGAAGTGGAGAGAACACTCTAAAAAATGCTGGGTTGTTTCAGCCCAACTTTGGGTCAAATATGGAATAACCCAACTAATGTGTTAAATTTTTAATTAAAAATTTAACACATTAGTTGGGTTATTCCATATTTGACCCAAAGTTGGGCTGAAACAACCCAGCATTTTTTAGAGTGAAGTATCCTCAGCTGAACAGAGCTGCTCACTCTTACATATGACCAAAAAACTAAAAAGAGAAAATAACATGTTTGTTACAATTTTAACGTTAAATTTGTATTTAAATTAAAGAATGAAATCATTTACCTGTTGAGAGTATGTTAACAGTCCGTTACGTTTACATGCAACCAAATAATCCATTTGTAATTGGATTGACGCCTCAATCAGACTGAAAAACCTTCATGTAAACACCTACACAAAGAACCATTTCAGCATAAAAGGGTTCTTCAGGATGCTGTGGTTCTAAGTAGAACCTTTACTACACATAAAGAACCTTTAAAGAACCATCCTTTTTTAGAGTGAAGTCCACACAGTCGGTAATGTCTTAAGTGAATGTAAATGCTGATCATCTCTGTAATCAAACAAAATACAGAAAATTCACTCTCTGTTCTTGACTGATTAACTTTTGTAACTATATTTGTAATGTATATTATTACAGTTTCTGTACCTGAATACTTAAAAATGTTAAAACACTTTATTTCAATTGCTAATTCATTCATTTGTTTAGTTGTATTTATTTGTGCGATTGCTAATTTATTTCTTCTTATCAAAGAATGAGACAAAAATATAGGCTAGGCCTATTCATTTTATAAAATTCTTTACTGTGACACAGGCTGTGTTGATTAGCGTTACATTATAAATATACGCCATTCTTATGAAAATAACCGAAAATGGCTTAAAGAACACAGATAAACACAGATATATCATCGCAATCGTGTGTTTATTGTCTTCACGTTTCATCAGTCAAACCGTCTCTATCTGCATGTTATTCAGCTGTAGTGATATCTGATGCATTTTTCCATATAAGGGATTTTCTGGAACGCTGTAAGTTTAATACTTCTATGAGTCTCACTTGTGAAACAAGTTACTTGACATTACTTGCAACATTACTTGAGATTGTTTAATGCTCACATCACCTCATTTTGGGTAAAAATAGAAAAATAATACTAAAGTACTTTGTAACCCAGTAACTTGAGTAGTTTTTCAGCAAACTACATATTTACTCTTACTTGAGTCATATTATTTTTCAGTACTTTTACTTGTACTCAAGTAAATTATTCCTTAAGTAGCATTACTTTTACTTAAGTACATTTTTCGGTGCTCTTTCCACCACTGGTCAGGGGCCCCTATCAGTGTACTCATAAAAACTCCAAAATGACCCTTTCAGAGCAGAAAATTAAGAATGTAAGAAAATTACAAACATTGTTACAAATCCAACAGAGAAAAATAAATCAAATATAAAAAATAAACACTGCATCGTATTCATCGTATGAATTAAATATACGCTGATTGTTGTTACAATTACTAAAGTTAATTCAGTGAAGATAAGCAAATGATTCCCTATTTTTCTTTTGTTGTTTGATTAATATTTAATGACAATGACAGCAGATTTTTTGTTGTTGTTGATTTCTTTTACTGTCACTTTAAGACTGAATGCACAGATATATACTGTCAAGCATTTGATTACTTTCCCAACTCTTCGTTCACTTAAGACATAATTTGCTGCTTTTAATTGCATTTATTAATTTAATTAACTCCTCAAGACAGACATTTTGTGTGTATTTGTCCTTTTAAACGCATACATGAAGCCCAAAGTAGCCTATACTTGCCTATGTTTTGCTCCGCCTCAGACCGCGAGCACAGAAAGCTCCTGAGGAACCGTGTCTCTTTTGCAGCTCAATACACTTACCTTTTTTTTTTTTTTTTGTGTCCACTGGCACAGAGCAAGTGGGACATAGCAAGCATTTTTAATTAATTCCTAAGGGTGTTGAGCTTCACAGTCATGTTACATGATTTGACGTATTTGGATGTTATGTAGGAAGGGCGACAATGCACTGCTTTAAAGGAAAGGAAAATAATAGAATGCAGCATTGTGTTTTCTTAATCGGTGGAAGCCAAAATCAAAAACAAAAAATTTCTATTAATTGCTCTGCCCTAGTCATTAAATCATCTTTGAGAGCAAGGGGACCCCCTGGTGGTTCTGGGGGCCCTAACCAACTTGAAGGACCGGCACTGCTGGCAGCTCAAACACATAGCTGCGTCCAAAATCACATACTCTCTTGAATAGATACTTATATTGAATAAGTAATTATTTCATAACCCCTAACAATGCCATGTTGTCATTATCACGTGACTTACCAGTGTCAGTTGTGTCACTTCATTCACAAATCCTCTCCTGTGGCCTCATTGGATAGTAAAGTGTCCATCTTATGCACACTTTAGAATCTCGCCGGACGTAGTATGGTACTTATTGTGAACTCTTTTATGAGTTCTTTTGTCACATACTGTTTTTTGCAGCCGTAGTGTTACTGATGCAGACTAACAATGAAATTCTATTTTTTTTCCCCCTTACTATTGTGTTTCAGTATAGAGGAACATTACTTCCCTATCATGTTTGTGCAAGGTAAGTGATTACTCATAATTGTATTCCATCTGAAATCACAAAAAGTGTGACACATTGCATAACAAATGTAAAGGATAATGTATTCATCCATTCCATCCTGTAAAGGATAATGTAGTTCATGATGTAGATGTATTTTTCCATTTGAATTTGAATAACTAATTTTCTGCTTTAGCTGTGATACACCATCCTGCTCTATGATAGTGTTTCCTGTTTGTGCTACTCCGCTGCACTCTAGTGGGCAAATCAAATATCACCTTGTTTTCTGTTTGTGTCCAATAAAGGGTTGTTTTGGTATGTTGCAGTTAGCTGGCCTGCACTTTTGTTGGCATAGTTATGGTTAATGATCTGGAGATTACCAGGAAACAGGTTCAGTCCTAAGAAAAGGCAGACAATGATGTGGATTGTTACCATGATGACAAAGCACTTTTCTGGTTTGATAACTTAATGATCTAATCTATTTTTAACTGCATTCTTTTTGTAGGTCAGACATGAGGAGCAAATGTACACTTCAGCCAATGTGCCCGTGGCACCCAGTGAGAGTTGAATTACATATATTTGACAACCTTATAAAACACATTAACAAATCTTCGAAGACCCTTAAAAGTCAAAAATATAATTTCAGTGCAGTGACATATGGGTTGCTTTTTCTAGATCAACATCAACAATGTTTTCATTCTCTTCACTTCATGTATCATGTATCTGAACATATGATCTGTACGGGTACAGATATCTGATAGTTTGTCATATTTTCTCTTTCTCCCATAGTATATACCACAGGCCCTCATCCAGGCAGAAATGAAGTTTATCCTACACCAGCAGCAGGTAAAGACATAAACATGAATAATGTGTATAGAGTTAACATACTGTAAGCATGTTCTTCTCTGCTGCAGGTTATATGCCACCTCAGGTCCCGATGGTCATGCCAGTCCCAGACAGACCGCTGGGCTGTCCACCGGGCCTGGAGTACTTGACCCAGGTGAATAACAGTACTCTCAACAATTAAACAGTTACATTAACTATAGAGAAAAATCATTATTCATATATGAACCTTTCTCTATGATCTGTGTTATAGGAATATAGGAATGGGAATCATAAAGAATTTAAAGGGGTCATATGATGTTGCTAAAAAGAACTGATTGGCCGATTACCTCAAGCGTGTGACGGAAATGTTACGCCCCTCACCATACTGTGATGCTCGTCGATGCGCGACGAGACAAAACCAGTAAAACCCATTATAAATGGGGCATTTGTTGCATCCAGTGGGGACATAATTACTGATTATAATGACTTATACTGTCTTTTTACGCGTTGCGTGAACATAAAACCATGTCTGCATTTGTGATCGGAGAAACGAGAAACAACAAGCGCTAATGTTACTCTACACTGCTCAAAACTCGCGTTTGAATCGTCAGTGGCAAATTCTTTAAACATGAAAACGTACTCACAGGCTGTGAGTCAGAAGCGCCAGACTGTCCTTGCAAAGTTGGAATTCCAAGAGCTTGTAACACTCCAAAGAGAAAGGAAAAATTGAAATCGCATCATATGACCCCTTTAATGGTTCCAATTTAATTTTTCCTAACAATTCCAGTTCCTAACAATTTTTTTAATACATGTTTAAAAAATGTAGAAAAGAACTGGAATTTTATTGCCAAATGATGAGATAATTGACACCCATTTGGGTCCTCTAGAAAAATAAATAAAAATAAAACTGTATTTGTCTTGTTGAAGAACATTGTTTTGGTGGTGCTTTGGCTCTGCTCCTTTGCATGGGTGAATATAGTTTGGGGCACCGGTGTACTTGTGGTTAAAGGACATCTTATAAAGATGGACAAATAATACATCCAATGCCTATTTTCATGTCAGTTCTACAATGCTGCTTCTCACAGGTTGATCAGCTTCTAGGTAATCAGAAAGTGGAATTAATGGAAGGTAATGTTTGGCCATTGATTACATTAGAAACATTTTTCTAACCCCCTCCCGTGTGATTACAAATGCTCTCTTTCTCTTACAGTTTTCATGGGATGGGAGGCCAATAATCAATATGTGGTGAAAAACAGTTTAGGGCAGCAGGTGTTTTTTGCTGCTGAGGAGAGCGATTTTTGTACTTGTATGGTTTGTGGACCAGTGCGCTCCTTCCTGTTTCATATCCAGTATAACTTGGGACAGGAAGTGATGACTTTATCCCGTCCCCTTAACTGTGGTAGTTTTTGCTTTTCTTGCTGTCTGCAAGAGGTACAGTATTACCATACAACATCCACTTCACCATGCATATTAGCCCAATGTTTTGCATTCTGCTTTGCATTCTGTTATTTTCTATCCGTTATTTTCTATATTTTCTACATTTCTATCAAATAAAAATTGACAAGTGATTATAAATATTTCAAAATACCTATGTTGCTGTCTTAGTATGTCAGTACTGCCTCATGTATTTCAGCTGGAGGTTCAGAGCCCCCCGCGCAACCCTATTGGTTATGTAATGCAAAACTGGCATCCTTTCTTACCAAAGTTCACCATCCAGAATGAGAGAAAAGAACCTGTTCTGAAGACTGTGGGGCCGTTCTGCGACTGCAAATGTTGTTCTGATGTTATTTTTTAGGTATGGTGCATAAATTATACCATAAATTATACTGTCATATCCATAATATAATATAATATAATATAATATAATATAAATCTTTTATTCAGCAAGGATGCGTTAAATTGATCAAACGTTACAGTAAAGACATTTTGTATATTCTATTTCAAATAAATACTGTACATTTCAACTTTCTACTTATCAAATAATGAAAACAATATCACAGTTTTCACAAAAAATATTAAAATTAAATATTTATAATTAAATAATTTAATATTAAAATATATTAAAATAGAAAGCAGTTGAATTTAATACTGTTTAATTACTGTTTTTTTTTTAATCAAATAAATGCAGCCTTGGTGAGTTAAGAGATCCCAAACTTTAAACGGTAGTCCGTATTGTTTAAAAATATACTATTAGATAAAAAAAGATCAATTGTCTTGCTGTGAATTTTGTGAATGTCATAATTTGTGTTTGCAGTATGAAGTTCCAAAATTTATAACAATATTTCCATGTATTTGGCTATAATAGTCATGGTGCAATCAAACATATTTATGATTAAAACCATATTTAACCTATAAGTGAATATATTATATATTTACCTAAATGCATAAATCCTAATTACATTAATTTACTTTTGTCTTTTTCTCATTTTAAACATACAGGTTTTCATGTATTTTGAGCACACTCAAAAGCAAGAGTGAACCCATCTTGGAGCTTTTTTCCCCATTTGATTAAATTATGTATTTCATTTGAAATACAAATGCTGTGCAATTTTCTCTTTAAACTTTTAAGTATCACAACTAATGATTGAGTGGGTCATAGTCATGATTTTCATTTACAACACTGTTGTGTAAAAACCTCCACCTATCTCATCTGACTAATAATTCTTCCAGTTTTCCTCTTCCACCCTCACCTCCTTTTCATAGTTATCTATATTACAGGTGCATCTCAATAAATTAGAATGTCGTGGAAAAGTTCATTTATTTCAGTAATTCAACTCAATGAGCCAAAATCATCACAATTAAAAGAACCAAAGACTTAAACTACTTCAGTCTGTGTGCATTGAATTTATTGAATACGCGAGTTTCACAATTTGACTTGAATTATTGAAATAAATGAACTTTTCCACGACATTCTAATTTATTGAGATGCACCTGTATAACAGAAGTACGAACTTTTAGATCCTTTTCAGACATTTTTCTTCTTGTCACTCCACCTTTATTTTGTCAAATAAAGAAAGGTGTGTCACCATCATTCTGCTGTAAATATAACATGTCAGCCCTCTAAAATGTCAATGTTTAACTAATCCATAAAATGTTGATTTAAGGATACGCAATGACCATGAATCTATAAAGCAGGATGGCACATTTAAATAATGTAAGATACATTTTTATTTAGATACTTCAACTGTGCCATCCTGCTTTTTAGATTTACAAGTCTAGTTCATAACGTCATGGTCATTGTGTATCCTGTGCATTTCTGAAGGTCTGACTTTATCAGTATGTTATTTTAAGTCACACATGCTTCTGCCCGACTCCTGGCCCTTCTTGGACATACACGGGCACAAGTTAGCGTTGCAAGAGAAGTATCACAAAAGATACTACATGTGAAATTGTGTGAAAGTGCTGATCTGTGCTTGTACTACAAACTGGATTCGAGTGCAAAAGTATATGTATGATGTTACATTGCAAGTTTGTGTTTATTATTGTATTTCTGTGGATGTAATTTGATGCATTTATGGCTTTTTTGTCATAAATCAACATGTTTGTCATTAATGAATAACTTCAACTTTGTGTTTTGCACTACTGTGTTTCTGGCTGTTTCTCAAAAACAAAAAAATGTTTCTGGTAATAAAACTCTTGTTGTACCAGTTGTAAAGAGATCCAGATCCAGATTGTGCAGTCGTTCTTTATGTGAGGAAGTAGCCTACTGCTGTTCTCCATTTCATTTGACTCTGGTAAACCACTAAAGTTTTTTATTTTATTTCGTTTTTTATGAATATCTTGATTGTGTGTGTGTGTGTGTGTAATAACTGTTAGAAATAAATATGTGTTAATGAGTAAAACTTTTTAAAATAAAGAGGTTTATGGAAATACATGGAAATACTTAAATTTATAGCAAAAAGCCATTCAGTTCTGCCTTTTTATTGTATAAAACTTTGCCTCAGCTTTGCATTCCACTGTGTGTTGTTTTAATAAGCTGTTTCCTGTTAATTATGGGTGGATTGTGTTGTCAGATCAAGTCAGGTCTCATCTAATTTCTAAACATGAAAAAGCTTTTTTCTTTTCTTAAAGGGGTCATAAGATGCAATTTCAAAAAATGCTTTGATAACTAGAAGACACTAACCAGTTTTAAACTCCAGTTGCGCAGATGGGGCACATTGTAACACTGCATTACAATGTGCAATTCTATGACATTAGCGATGTAATTTACACTATTTACTTTAATGAATTTGAATGAGAAACAACGAGAAATAGGTGATTAAAGACTGACAGTCAATGTTTAATGTTTATAGATTATTATTTCAAGACATGTAAAGCATTTTTGCTCGTTTATATGGGCCGTCTAAAAAAATTATATTCTGAACCCTATGTGGATTTACACAAACTGAGAAAATCAAAAAGTGTTACTTTGTGCCCCGCTCTCCCCTACAGTATGTGGAAAATAATGTGTTTTTTGAACCTTAAACTGCACAAACACATTGCATTACACCAAATAGCCTACACAAAATAATGGTCTTTTTTAGCAACGTCATATGACCCCTTTAAGGAAGTGAAACGTCGAATAATAAGGTTTCTGAAAAAGCAGAAGCAGAAGTTTTAAATAGCCTACACCTGAAAGAAAAACGCAGAACATCTGTCTAAATGTTGACAATTTCCACATATATATAAATAACTCTCTATAACCATGGAGACACTTCCGTTTAAAAGCCAGACAAGTCATTCGACATAACCGATATAATCACGACTTTTTTTTTTATCACGTTCGCTCCAGTTAATCAAATGCCTATGACGTGGCCAGGACAAAACTTAAGTGAACCGAACATGTCCCCTCCCTGTCACCGTAGTACGAAATAATCATAATGAGATTTCCCCCCATACCCCCACCCCTTCGGTCACTTTCGTTTTTCTGTTAGGGGTGTGTTCGTGAGCAGAAACAGATTGTTTCACGGGAAGGAAACCCAAGTGTGTGAGGCAGATAAAGGGCGAAGAGAAAACAGCTCTGAGTGACTGTCGCCCACTAAAATAATAATAATAATAAATATATATATAAAAAGAACCTGTCTCTCTCTGAGCGGAATTTAATCAAGTAAATTGAAGTAAAGGACTAAAACACGAGATCTACGGCATCAGTATCCACAGCACCTCACTTTGAACAAGTAACAGGTGAGTTGATGGCATATTAGATTAATGCAGCATACACTGTAAAAACTTTGTCAGTTAACCTGTAACATTAACATCAAAACTAATAAGACGGACTAAGTTATTGGCTACATCAACGAAGCAGCATATTTAATGGATAAGTCAAGTAGAAATAGATCCTTAAAGTAACAATTGCATGTTTACATCTGTTACAGTATCTATCCCCCTGAGATCATAGAATTGCCATGTCATTGTTATGTAGGCTTATGTCATAGTTATTAATTTATGCATACTATTTCTTCACTGAAGGCCTAGTAGTGGAAAGTAGTAGTAAATGATACCATTTTATTTATTTAGTTAGTTAGTACTGTAAGTATTACCGTATAATGATGTGGCTCACAGAGTAATCCAGTTATTAATTATCTAAATAATTGACTGATTGTTTATTTGGTAATATTTAGTTTCCTTAAATGTCCTTAAAATATAGTAAATTAATATAAAAGTATGAATTTGCTTTTTTCCATTTTATTTTTGGTATGAATGCATTATGGAGGACTGATTTCTTCAAATACAAAAGCTGCAGTTTATATCAATTATTAAAATGATAAACATAGTATATTAACTATGTTACAAACCTCTTGTATTCGAGTGGATTATCCTAAAATGTGTTTAGGAAGACTACACGTGATTTGCATTCTGTACCTGCGGTCCAACTTCCCAGTTATTTCCTGGTTAATTCCCAGGTGTTCCCAACCTGAGTTTTGTGTATTAATGCCATCCTGTTTGTTTTGTGGATTCATTTGCAATGAAAATGTTGGGCGGTCGAAATTCCATTCCCTACGAAGCATGGAAAAAAGAAAAAAAAAACATACAGGAAAATATTTGCTTAACTTGCTTTTCTGGTTTGCATGTTTACAGAGCGTAATTTGCAGTCTTCCGCCATGGCTACAAATAATGGTGAGTGTGTCAAACCTTATCATCAGCAACCTGATCCTGACAGGACTGTTAAATTGCTGTTATACAGTATATAACTCAAAGAAACACCCTGGCTTTCACATGACATTGAGAACAGTGTCAATTGATGCTCTTTGATACTCTTCTTTGATTCTCTTGATTTAAACCAGGTTACCCAATTGACCTCCAACCACAGAAAAATGCAATTCATCCCGCCCCTCCTTATAACCAGGGACCAGCTATACCAGGCCAAGGTAAGGGAATCTGAGGAAATTTAGATTTTTCAAAATCTTATCTCATGTTCTCACTCCTAATTTTCTTCCCTTTGCAAGGTCAAGTGCCCGTGATGCCAGTTCCACAAAGACCTGCTGGCTGCCCACCAGGACTGGAGTACCTGACCCAGGTAGAGCTTTACTGCTGCGTATGAACAGCACAGTATGCCACTGTAGGCAGAGATTTTTTTTTTTTTTTTTTTTTCGTGTGTGTGTGAAATGAGATAGTATCTTCTCAGGAAATGGTGATTCAGCTTGCATTGGTTTCCTGGGCTTTGAAATGATACAGTAAATGCCCCACTTATTGGAAGAACTGTGTATTACTTGTGAAATACTTTGGAAACACTTCACAAAAATGAATATCATGCAAAGTTCTAAAGATGGTTTTCAGCATTTATTCCCTTTTTACAACACAGATTGATCAACTTCT